AAAACAATTTGGTGTGTAAAAATTTGAGTTTGGTGCTGGCCAGCATTTGAGCTAATGGGGCTATGAAGTAAACCACCTAGGGGCCAAGACACAGGCTGTCTTTAGCTCATTGGTATAACACAGTGACCTCACTCTTACCTACCAAGTTATACTGTTTAGTACAGACTCAAGAAGACTTGAGGTACAACTTGTGCTGGACCTCAAAGAGCAGAAGGTACTTTTGCATAGCAGAGCTTATGTAAAAGAGAATAGAAAAGGAACAAGGTTTGGGGGTGTCTCTACAGAAAACTCTACAGAAATGATTGCCATCTGTCCATCTCTTGTTATTTCCTTTACTCACTATCCAGGGGCTTTGTTTTGTTTGTTTGTTGTTTTATTAATGAGAATATTTAAAAAAAAACAAAAAACTATCTCAGTTACAGTAACTTTTTAAAATGGGATCTTTCAGGACTTGCTCTTGGTGGTGAAAACATCTTTGGAGCCCCTATAGGTGGAAGGTAGAGTTTATTTATGGGGCTCATAGGCTGAGATGTGTTTATTAGAGTTGGGTTTGGGCTGTGAGAATGAGCTGTTAAGGTCAGTGGATGCAAGTCAGCTGGCTGGTATTTTGTATACCTTTTTAAGAGCACAGTCATGTGTAAAGCATGGTACTTTTTTTTTTTTTTCCTTTTTGTCTTTTTTACTGACCGGTAACGGGATCGCAACCCTCAGTGTTGCGCCCGTACCGGGGACAGGCAACGGGATCGCAACCCTCGGTGTTGCGCCCGCACCATGCTCAGCCAGTGAGCGGGAACCGGTCTCCACATGGGATCCGAACCCTCGGCGGGAGCGCCGCCGCACTCCCAAGCGGCGCACTCTCCAGTGCACCACCAGGCCGGCCCAAGCATGGTATATTTTTTATTACTCTCAGACTTTAAATTATTGACAGAATTATGTTACCAAGTCAGTATCTTTGCAGGATTAAAAGAATACAAAGAATGAGAGACTGGGGGTATCTTTCAAGATCTGTAGTCCAACATCATTTTATAAGGAAAGTGAAGTGAATTGAGGAGAACTGCCTTTCCCAAAGTCATACAGCTGACTTTGACATAGAATTAGACACCAGTGTTCCTGAGTTCTATTGCTTTACAGGACTACTTAGCAATAGTTCTTTATAGGTGGCCTGGAAACATCTGACGTTTAGGTCCTATTTCTTAAGCAAACCATTATAATGATCCATGTGGCAGCTTGAGATTGTATAATGAGTCTTGTGAGAGGGCTAGCTGAAATGGGTGGCGGATGGCTAGAGTGCCCATTAGGGACAAATTAGAATATGGAAAAGCCTTGGGAAGAATATAGAAGAATATAGAATATAGAAGCCAGGGTACCTAGGGCCAGGCCTAATACCATCCTAAGGATCTTGGACAAATTAATGTCTGCTTCCTCAGTAGAAAACCGAAGATAATATGTGCCCTTCCTCTACCTCATAGGCTGGTTATAAAATGTCAAAAGTGAAATGTATATGAAGGTATATACTTTAAAGCGTAAGGAATAATTCACAAAAACCAACATTGTCATTGTTCGGTAGGATAAAAGATTCTTTTAGCTGTTAGTTTCAGTGTGCTATTGTTTTGGAGTCAATTCTTTTTTTAGAAGGATCCAGTTTTCTGTGTTGGGTCATTGACTTTTCAGTGGTAACTAAGGAAGATAGCAGTTAAGCTCAATTATATAATACTGCTATAATAATAGTAGAGCTCAGTGGAAATTAAATCATATGCAGTAACTGATGTCATGCAGGTTCATTATATTTTTCATTTCCATTTAAATCTGTTTTATGTTATTTATAGCTTCCTATTCATGTAGATACCAACAGCAAACTAGGGATTATTTGTAGCAGCAATTTGTAATAACAACCCTCCAGCACCATCCCAGACCCTGTTCGATTCCCTTTTCCACAGAATTGTTGAGATTACATAGTTTGTGTTATAGTTTGTTTAAAACTTTTCATAATAAAAAGTAAAATGATAATAAATCTAACCAGAATTATCAAGGGGGAACAATTGTAATTAGAACTAAATGTCACTATCTGTAGCAACCTGATAGTAATGCTTGTTATGGTGATGTCCAGGTAGAGATTAGATGCAGTGAACTCTGGTAGTGGAGAAAAAAAGACCCGGGGACAAACAAGTAGAATATGATGCTGGTACAACAGCTTCCTACTTGCACTGAGAGCCCTGAGCAAATATCACTAAGGTATTATTTGATGACCAGCTGAGCAGTCAAGGACATTTATTTGAGGTAGAGTGATAAACCAGGTCGTCTGAAGGTAAAGACCTACGTTTATTGAGCACCTGCTACATGTCATATATTTTGCACACACACTCACATATATATAAAATTTTAGAATGTGTTCTACACAAAATAGGTCTATATTTGCTTTTACATTTATAACTAAATCGCACTCTAATAACTTAAAAACTTAGTGAAAGTTTATAGTGCATTTTATGTTTTCATAAAATTTTTTGAGGATAAACTTCAAAACACTATAGTTGAAAAGATATGTATGTCTGAGGGTTTATGTCCACTCTCCTTTTCTGGTACTATAGCCTAAAATAATTGGAGTCTCTTCTGCCATTTAAGTTTTTTTTTTTTTTTTTTTAAGTATTCTGGGTTAACATATGTGTCTGTGATTCGTGAATTGATTTGTGGTTCTAGGTGGTGGAACAGTGTGGATACTAGTAACTATAGAAAACTTGAACTTTTTCTGGGAAAGTTTAGTAAAGAATAAAAAGACTTCAATACACAAAATATTCTTCTCAAGGCAAGATTCAATATAATAAAGAAGCCAGTTCTTCCTAAAATAATCTATAAATTTGCAGTGATTCTAATCAAACCCAAGAGTTCTTCATAATGAAAAACTTGACGCTGATAGGAGAATTCATTTGGAAAAGAAAATGTGTTAAGAATAACCAGGAAATTTGAAAAAAGAACAGTGGAGACAATATGGAGACTCATAAGCAAAAGGAATTGGAGAGGGTTATATTTGGCGAATGTTATATGGAGATTTATAACATATATGGATGACATTTCAAATCAAGAGAAGGGTGGCCTATCGAATGGATAATGTTGAGATTTTTAATTTTCCGTGCAGAAAAAAATTGGTAGATTCCTACATTTCACTATACAAAAAAATCTGAATGGATTAAAGGCTAAATAATAGTCTAGAGAAAAGCAGGCCGTCTTGAACTTGTCATCTCTGCCATGCTCACCTTATGGCTTAGACTTCTACATACAACTCAGAGAAGATGTCCCAGTGATTACCATCTACCAAGCAATGGAAAGTGGCTCCTGAGGTAATTCTGACCTAGGCTCAGTATGGTACACAGTATTTTTTTTTTTTTTTTTTACAATCCCTGGGATAAGAAATAAGACATAAAATCTGGGAAGTATGAGGAAAATGATTGATAAATTTGACTACATAAAAAATTAAAATGTTGTGGGACCAAAAAACACCAAGTTGAAACAAAATTGGCAAATAGTAGATTGAGTGAAAATATTTGCTAAGTAAATAAAAATCAAGGGATTAATACTCGAATTATATATCATGCTTACAAATCAGTAAGAAAATAACAAATTAATCAGCAGGAAAACAGTCAAAGGATTTAAACAAGAAAAATGGCAAATAAACAAGAAGATTCCCAGCCTCACTCATAATTTGGGGATAGCAAATCAAAACAATGAAATATTTTCACCCATAAGATATATAAAAAATTAAAACTTGTGAGTATTTGCTGTTGCCCAAGGTGTGGTTAACAAGTTGGTGAGCACATAAATTAGTACAGTTTTTTTTTTTTTTTTGCCTCTGCTTGGCTGTGTAAACACGCTTCAAACAGTAATTTCACTTCTAAGTTTCTGTCCTACCAACCTACTTACATAAGTGTAAGCACTGTTTATAAAATGAACTTGAAAATAACCTAAATGTACCACAGTAGGAGGTTAAATAAACCTGGAAACATCTGTGTTAAGGAATATTATGTGTTGTTAAAAAAGATGAAGTAGATTTGTGGGTAAGTTTATTTAATGGAAATAGCTTCAATATATACTGTTAAGCAAAAAAAAAAAAAAAAAGTTGTAGAGCAATGTGTACAATATATTCTAATTTATGTAGAAAATCTCTTTAAACCATCTATTTAGAAATGTGTGTGTATTATATACATGTAATATATGTAAATACACAGACAAAGGTTTGGAAGAATGCACACCTGTCAAACTGATAGTGGTAGTTCTGGGGAGAGGTTAGATTTAGGAAAAGAGTGGGTGAGGCAAGACTTTTTTTTTTTTTTTTTTAAATTCTGCATCCTTTGTAATGTTTGAAACTTTTTATAGGAATATATCCCTGCATTATTAGTAACATTCTATAATTTAAAGCAAATAAATACAAAACAAAATAAGCCGAGGGTACCAAATTACTTTCTGAAGTTTTTGTTTAAAGTGTCCATTGTGTTTACTCATGCACTATAGAAAGACAGTGACTGTGTTTACAAATAATAGAGAAGGGTACACAGCAGACACTTGACAGTTTTAACTTGTTGGATGGGGTGGGTACTCCGTACATTGATGTATTATTTAAACTTTTTTCAGTGAGCACATATCATTTTCATAATTTAAAAAATTAAGAGCAAAGACCCTGTTTTATTATTGACCTTTCCCTTCTTATGGTAGGACCTTTCTATTTCTCAGAAAGGAGAGTGTATAAGCATAAATAGATTATCTAAGGTAACCAGAGGTTCAGTTTATCATCTCTTACCCCAAGCTTTCATAAAGCTTGTCTCTCTGTCTTTAGTAGAGCAGAATCCCTGAAGGCAGCCCCTCTAAGTGCCTCTGTCCTCCTGCAGCAGAGCTGTGGACACCTAGGCTGTGATGGGAAAAGACCCATTTTCCCTGACTGTCCAGACATCCAGCAGCCAGTTCAAGAGGAGAGCCTTTTCACACTCAGTAATTTGGCTGTCTTGTCCACTTAGGATGTTTACAAGCCCCGTCGGAAATACAAACGCCAACAGGGAGCAGGGGAGCTGCTCGATGAAGAGTCGCGAATCCATGCTACACTTTTGGAATATGGCAGGTAATGAGTGGGTCCCAGCCTAGGTGTCTGTTTTATAAAACCATTCAAAAGAAAAGCTAATTTAAATTGCTTCATTTAGATTAACTTCATTGGCTTCTACCTGATTGAGTTTCCTGTTTTCAACCATGACATTTCCAACATCAGGGGCTTTTTTCTCTCTGGCATTGAATTACCTAAATTTCTGTGGGTAACCTGTGCAATTCCTCTCTGGAAATGTGTGTGTAACTGTGTATCTGGCTCTGCCCTCTTTGGGGAGTTGGAGTGTTTGGTGCATTTGCAGAGGCTGGGAGTGGTTTGCTTTTCATGCCCCTGCTATTTTTTAAAATCTTCAGGTAAATGAGTGAAATGCAAGCAGGTTCAGCAGTTTTACTTTAAGTGTTAGAATAATAATTTTGGTATCCTGTGATGATTGTCCTGACTAGGAAAATTAAGAATTTAAAAGTAGTTTTTTTAACTTCTTAAAAACATCTCTAGTTTTTTTTTAAAAAAAACAAACTCTTATTTTATATTCTTAGTTTTTACTTAAAAAAAACACAAGGACATGCTTCTCTTTGTTGAGTTTTTTGGTTGACACTAGTATTAACCTTTATTTATGTCCTGCATTCTTTACTTAAGGTAACTGATCCCTTGATGTGAGTATGTTTCCTTGTACTTCCTTCCCTTGTGCTGGGAGATGTTCCTATGTGCTGCTGTGTCTCACAGTCCAGGCCTTGTTGGGTGTGTGGAACTAACAGCACTACCACTAGCTTCTTCCTGAGTGAGCATCTGATGGCTTCACCCTCTAGGGTACTGGAAAGAACCAGAAGGAAATTAGGCTTAGTTATTCTAGTTTTCAAAGGAAAGGAAATCACTTTTTTTTTTTTTTTTTTTTTTTTTTAAGGCAATAGTATGGGGTCAGGTCTTTCTAAGAATAAAAACTAGTCTGTCTCAAAGTAAGTTGAGTTAGTTCTGGCCCTAAGCCAGGTGGGATAACTGTCCCTACAGCTCACCAGTTGCTGCTGTTAATTGAATGCCTCCTCTGAGTCAGGTACCACCAGGACTAGCTATATAATTTGTGGGGCCCAATACAAATGACAATGCAAGCCCCTTTGTTAAGGATTATTAATGATGATTATTTTTTAAGACAACAGCAGCCACCAAGTGTAGGACCATTCTAAGCATGGGACCCTGTGTAATTGGACAGGTTGTATGCTCATGAAGCTGGCGCCAGGCACCATGATGAGGTCTCTCCAGCCAAACGCAAGCTGTGGCAAGTTGGCAGGTGAGGCTGCACAGCCCTGGGAGAGCCAGACTGTAGAGATAATCCTGTGGGTGCCACATGCCCCATCACTGAGGAGTACTTAGGAGAATGTAGTGGGTTTTGTTAAGTTTGCATTGTTCATGCCTCACTTTTTTTCATTATCTTGGAAAATCAGATGTGCCTAGTGAAAATGAGTCAGAGATTTAGTACATTGCCCACCTCACTGAGACCACGTTGACAGTATTTCAATATTTTGTTCTGAAATTCTTAGTTTCAAATGGGATCTTTTGCACCAGTGACATGGATGGAAGTTATTATCACCATGTGAAGGCTAAGTAAATTCAGAACATTTGTGCCCATCCTCAGGAGTGGTTGGTGCATTTTGAGGCCGGAATATGGGTTGCCTCTCTTTAAGGAAGGGAGCAAGGCACAGGTTTTGTTTGTTGCTTCTCTCAAATTCTGAATGTGAAAAAGAGCAAAGTGTCTTCATACCAAACTTGGCTCCTTAGCTCTTGTTTGTGGGGCCGTGCTGACTTCTAAGCCTAGGGTAGGTATTTGATGAAGGTTTTAAGTTTTTGTTTTTAAGGAGAGGTCTTAATTTGTTTTCTCTTTAGCTTTTCGGTAGGGAGAGAGTGGGTTTGTAGGAGGTGGGGTAGTGGATAATTAGGACATTCTGATAGTTTATTATCTCATTTTCCCCTTTGAGAATAATAATGACAACATTCAGAAATGTTAAAAAAAATAACTTGCCCAATGTCGCAAACTATTTAGAGGCTTAAACTGGGACTTGAACTTAGGTCTCTTGAACTCCAAAAGCATGTCACCATCATTATCTGCAAATATTGTTTGAGCTTTCAGCGAAAGTATATTTTTACTCACTCTCTGGTTTTAGAAAGACAGGCCTAGTTTTGGTTATTTGGTCTGAGATTGAACAAGAAGAGAGTGGTTATTAAAAATGACAAAATAAATTGGATAATACTTAAAGCCCCAACACGTGCATGTTTTATTCCCCCACCCTGTGGTGGCCCCTCCCCTCCTTTTTGGCCATCTGACGCTTTCCCATAAGTTTTATTCGGTGCTCTGCACTGCGTGGAGCTCTTCCCATTAAATGAGTATTATATAACAATATATGTGTAAAGAATTTTGAATAGGTTTTTCTATGGAGAAAACACTCCGTAAATGTTAACTATGCACTACTCTCATTGTTGTCCTTGTCATCATCACTATTAGCAGCAGCCTCTTTCAGTTCTCAAATACTCTTACATATAACCTTTAGGTTCAAATTAGGGTTCTATCCTGAGCCTCCCCTTCCAGTTCTCCTTGTCCCTTTATACTCGTTGCCCCAGCACTAGCCCTCACTTCAGCACATGTATGGGAAGTCTCACCCCTCTTCCCTTCCTCCCCCAATCAAGCATTTCTGGCCCTCTGCTGGCTCTGGGACTCACTTTGTTCTATCTTCCCTCACCTTTGTGACACTCCTGAATTCCTCATTCCCACCTACATAGTACCATAACTTTAGGAATTCAAATCATCCATCTTCTGTCAGTGTTTCTGTTTTTCACCTCATTTCTTGAACTCTTGACAAAGGAGAAAGTATTTTGACTCCTAGAGCAAGAGGTCTGAAAACTGTTTCTTCTTTGGGGTCAAAGTCACTCATCAGCTTGAAGTCCATGGTGTCCTCTGGCTTTGAAGTCAGCAGTCTAGCCTTTTCCCTCTTTTTTGACTCTCGGTTGCTCAAGTAAAGCTGAACTTTGAGCCTGGTCAGCCATGCTGGAGGCCTTAAGGACTGTATATTAGTTAAAAACGTGTTTAAGCGTATTTTTCTAAATGGTATGGTGTTGGAAAAACAAGACTCATAGTTTTGATTTTAGACTTAAACAAAATTACAACTCTGTAATATTTCAGTTTTATTATGGAACCAATCAACTTTTGGAAGCTACCTTAAACACCTAACCATGCTATTAAACTACTACTATTGGGAAATGCATTTTATATGCTGTATATTTGATTTGCAAGTGGAATTTTGAGCACAACCACTGTAATACTGGAGTTAGCCTATTCTACAGTATTAGAGGCTTAATTCTGAGTTGACTTGAAGTCATTCTGTAGTTGGTAAATGAAATATGACATGTCTTCCAACTTGTCTGTGTCCCCTATGATGGAAGTCCTATGACATGCTCATAGGACGTATTTAGTTAAGTTTCTGTTGAATGAACAAAGAACAGTTTACAGTTATTACTATTTAGCACTTTTTTATGCCCCTGTTTTGTTCTGGATTCTAGATAGTTAGACAACTTTCTGAATTTGACCTGAGGCAATTCTTCTTGAAGGTTAGTGTGTTTCCTGGAATTGTGATGTCCAGTAATGGTTGCCACTGGCCATATGAGGCCATTGGGCAATTAAAATGTGACTAGTGTGGCTCAGGAACAGAATTTTAGCTTTAATTAAGTTAAATTTAAATTCAAAAACTCTTGCTTGATTAAGTTATTGGAAAATGTTTAAGTATGTTTGGAATAACTTGGATATGTGAATCTACAAATTTAAAAATTATATGTGTGGCTGTCACTATATTTCTTTTGGACTATGCTGTTCTATAAGATATACATCCTTGATTTAAAGACCAAGTGCTAGGATATGAAGAAGTGAACTAGTTGATAAGAGGGCCAGAGCTCTGTTGGTGTTGACAGTGTAGGACAGCAACAGAGTTGATGAGTCAGAGTGAAGAAGGGGAAGCAGGAGCACAGCATGTCAGAGCTGGCACTTGGGAGGAAAGGCCAGGGCTGACAGGACAAGAAGAAAGGGAGGTTGTAGGAAGGATCAAGGGAAAGTAAATGCTTTTGTAGTAGGAAAAGTTGAATCATCCACTTGCTCTTTTTGAGAGTTGATAGGTGTAAAGGGATATCATGGTCCTTGTGAAGATCCAGCAATATGAAGGAGTCTCAAAGACTCCAGGGAATACAATGAGGCAGGCATTAATGGGCACTGGAGGACAGCTCTTCTTTGTCATACAAGCATTGCTACCATGATAAATGGAGAAGGAATCCTTTAGAAAAGTCAGCTGGATTCTATCTGTTCAGCAAACATTTATTGAGTACTTATTATGTGCCAGTCACTGAAATAGGCAGTGGAGATACAAAAGTGAATGAAGCTGTCTGTGAGTGTTTATAGCAACACTATTCATAATTGCCAAAAAGTGGAAGCAGCTCTAATGTCTATCAATTGATGAAACAAATGTGGTTTACCCAGATACTGGGATGTTATTTAGCCGTAAAAAGGAGTGAAGTACTGATTCATGCTAAAACATGGATGAACTATGGATAAAATATGATGCTAAGTGAAAGAAGCCAGAAGCCAAAGGATGCATATTGAATGGTTTTATTTATGTGAAGTGTCCAGAGTAGGCAAATCCATAAAAATAAGAAGTAGATTAGTTGTAGCTGGGAGTTAGGGAGAGGGAAGAATTGGGACTAATTACTGATAGGTATGGAGTTTATTTTTTGGGGTTATGTAACTGTTCTAGATTTAGGTAGTGGTAGTGGTTGCACAATAGTGAATACGCTAAAAACTACTGAAGTATACACTTTAAAATGGTGAATTTTATATTATATGAATTGTACTTCAATTTTTAAAACGTAGGGAAAAAAAAAGTGAATGAAGCAAAATTCCCTCCACTGCAGAAGCGCAACACACAGGCTTAAAGGATTACACATGACATAATTATTGTACATAGTGCAATGAGTGCACTGGAGGTATAAACACAGAACTACATATCTGGGGGTAACAGTTTGGGGTCATCAGAAAAGTTTTTCCATAGCCTCTGTCTTTAAGGAGGAGTAGATGGGACTGGGGGTCGAGTCACTCAAATTTAGTTGTTTACTGTTTTATTTGGAAAACCCATAAAGTTCCTGGGCCTTCGATAAGGGCTATCTTCCTGAAGGTATGTCTTCTCCCCTAAGGGTCTCCACAGACTAAAGGAAAACAAGGAATACTCAAAACACTTTTAGGAATAGGAAACTTTGGTGAGACCCTGTATTGGTCAGGATAACTCAGTGCCCTCCCAGTAGTCTCTGCAAATGGGATTGATGGGAACTAGGCAGGGTCATCTCCCCACCTTCACATTAGAACTGGAGCTCCAAGGAAGTTGCCTCTGCCTCCACAATCCAGAAGCAGCCTGTAGAATTGGGAAGTTGGTGCTGCGGCTGCTGACGAGGGAAACACACTCTTTCTGTCAAAATCAGGAAGCTCTTGCTGCAAAACCAGGAACCCACTGTGACAGCTGCTGGCCCCAGAGCCAGGTTGTTTCTACTGCAATCTGTACCACTACAATGGATCCTTTATGCCCCTTACCCGCCCCCACCCCCCATTTAACTGTTCCACATTCAAAACTCCAGCAAGTACATGTGATTAGTGGAACCTAAATAGCACTCAGAACCCTTGGTGCAAGGGAGTATGGAAAATAGAATCTTTTGTTTTCCATCCTCTGTAGAATAGGAAGATGTGGTAGATACTGATTAAGCCAGCTCACAGAATCTGTCCTAAAGCTATTTGTGTGGATACCCAGAATTTAACTTTGATCTGCTGCTGTGCTTTGGGCTTGTAGATTTATGCCTAGATGCCCAGTAGTGACTTTTTGGTCTTTTCAATTATATGACAGTCTATGACAATCTATTGTAAGGTTAGGTGATACTTTTGGCTTTTTGATTTCTGCACCTTTTTTCCTACTTAGGTTTAGTTTATTCATTCAACAAACATTGGAAATTCAAAATGTAAAAGCAGAATCATTACCCTCAAGGAGAAGGATATAGACACACCATCAGGCAGCTGGACATAATTGCCATCTGGGAAGCAAAAGGAGCATGTGCAGACTCAGAGCTGGATAGGCCAGGGCCAAGCGTGTGCGCATGGGGGGTGCTTCAGAGGGGAAGATGCTTTAGAGCTGAGGGGTAAGGGGCCAACAAGGAAGTAGGGGGAAAGAGGAGAAAAGCTCAGCGTATGCACAGCTCTCTGTTCAGGCAGTAGATGGAATGAGAGAGTGTAAGGTGAGCTGCTGGAGGTGAGGATCAATAGCTGTTAGGCAGAGCCATAGAAGAGAAGCCTTGATGAGATTGCTGCAGAGAACCTGTTTTCCCCTGAGGGAAGAAGTCTGCCTTTGATTAATGCAGATCAGGTCAATGCAAAGTTGGATAAGGAATGGGCAGGAAGAGTAGGAGGGGAGTGAGGCTGGAGGCCCCAGACCAGGTAAGAGGCCAACACACTGACCCAGCAAGTGAGACGAGGCGCAAGCGAAGGCAGAGAAAAGCCCTTAGTTTGTTTTTCTTAAATGGTTGCATGTAACTTTATTTCCTTACAAATTACTTAGAGGTGTATGAAGCTGGGTGTTTTGCATTATGCTTTTTGTTGTAGGTTGAATGGTTTTTGTGTTGTTATACTTGCTTTTTTTTAAAGCATAGATTAACTAGAACCAGAAAATAAACTAATTTAAACTGAAGTGTGTTTGTGTGTTTCTTTGAATTTCAGGTTGCGAGAAGTGAATATGCAACATTATCAGCAACGTGCTTGGGTTATGTTTGAGAATAAAAAATATACTGGACTTGAAGTTATTGAAGTAGCATTAGAGAACATGTTCAGCTTGAGCAAACACATTCACATTTGTTTATACAGATATTTTTAAGGCTTTTAGGTTTAACTGTGGCTCTGAAATGCAGTTCCTCGTTCAAAGAGTGAGGATTGCACTTGAGAAAAATGTTGCACTCTGTATTATCCAAGAGTTCCCAAAACATTTTCTCCAGTCACCAAATAAACCTAAATTCTCTTTGGTGCTTCTTATATAAAAATCCAGCCAAAATGCATTTGACCAAATTTATTGTGATTTTGCAGTAATAATTGAATTCCCCTTTTTTGTGGCCTGCAGGAGATATGGATTTAGCCGCCAGAGCAATACAGAGAAGGTAAGAAAGGCATAGATAATGGTGGAGAATATTTAAGAGATGAAAATGACACTGTTGGGCTGGGCAGCTGCTGAGAAGCCTGGGAGGGGTGGGATGGTAGGGCTGCTGCTGACCAGGCTGTGGTCCCTGGGCAAGCCGGGGTGGCAGGGATGTGTAGCTGCCATTGGTCTCTGCATCTCCATCCTGGCATTTTCCAGCCTGCAGCCCCTGCAGACTGGCGAAACGAAGCAGCAATCTAATCCTGGCACTGGCAGTGAAGGGTTATTAAAAGTCGTGGCCTCAGGGTCAATCAAATGGGATCTAATAGCTGTAAAAGTGTGACAATGAAGTCCACACCCAAGACTCCCAGGGTACCCTTCATCTGATGAGAGAGACTCTAGACAGGTGGTGTGAACATGATGCGACAATGAGATAGAACACAACCATAAATTACAGATCTGCCCTCTCCTAAGACAGCTAAGTGTGGAGGAACCAGGTAAGTCAGGATGGGGTTTTCTGAATTCACAAAGGAATCTCAGAGATTTCTGTTAGTTTATGTATTTATTAATGATCCTTAATGGTCACCAGCAGCATAAATCTTACAGCACCAAATTCTTACTGTGTTCCAGGCCCTTTATTAAGGGCTCTGAATTTCCCCCCACCCCCACCCCCACTTATTCCTGTGAACAACTCTTTGAGGAGGGTACTTACTCCATCTTTTAAGGTCAGAAAGCTGATGCTCACAGAGGCTTAGTGGTTTGTCCAAGGCCACACAGCCCTAAAGTGTCATAATAAGAATCTGAACCCAGGTCTGTTTGACATTAAAGCCTATGTTCATAACCACTGCCTTCTAAATAATAAAGTGCCAGCTAAAATGGTCAGTGGCTTCTTAAAAAGTGGAGTTCTGCAGCTTGAGATCTGTTAATAACCTCTTTTCTCATTCTGCACCCAATTCCTAGATTTTCTTGAATAGGACACACTCTTCCTGCTGTTCTCCCACCACCCCTCCACTCTGCTCCCACCTCTCCTGTGGTGATTGTTATCTGTCTTTGGAGGGCACCAACAGTGACTAGGAGCATATGTTCTAAAGTCGGACTGTCTGGCTTCAAGTGCTAGCTCCTCCCTTTCACTGTGTGACTTTGGATTATTTACTTAATTGTTCCTTAATTCACAGCATTTGTAAAGTGGGGGTAGTCATTGTACCTACCTTACAGCATTGTTGTGAAGATTAACATGTAAAGGACTTAGAATGGTCCAGTGCATAGTAAATATTCTGTAAATGCTATTCTCCTTATTAGTATTGTTATTGTCAATTAGTCATGCACTGATTATATTCTCTTTATTTTGGTTTTCTCATTATTCCATTTTGTGCTTTTATTCAACTAATACTAAATAAACATTCTCTCCAGAACAGGGTGTTTTTTGGATTTGAGTATGTCATATGTCATGTGTTATGTAATAAAGGTTCGAGGTGTATATTTAATTTGATATATAATTTAAGTCTGAAAAGAATGTCTGTGTATTTGACTGTATTCTGAAATAAAGCAATTTGGTTATGACTGGAAAAATCATGAGATACCCATGAAATAGTGTTCAAATTGGGCTTGTCTTGTCATTCTTATGTCAGATGGCACATTTGGATTAAAAGTCTTGTCCCCTATAGATATGTAGGAGGATAAGCAGTTAGGGTGTTCCTCTGAGCAATGATAGACTTGTTATAGAAAGGTGTCCTAGAGTTGGGATGGTCCAAGAAGGGCATCTGAGACCAATCCTAGTCCTCTCTTTCAGCCCTAGAAAACCCTAATATCCAGAGATTGGAGGCAAGCCTGCAGTCATCCAGCTAGTGGAAGGCAGAGATAGAATTAATACTATAGACTTCTAGCCCATGTTTGAGGACGAGCAGTTAATCCAGGGCATCTTGAGTGTGATGTGATACATTTCAAGCCTGAGGCTTGATCCAAGGTTTGCAGCGTGATCATCAGATGAAGCAGTTTAGACTTTTATTCTTCAGACCAGTGGCTTTCAAAATTTTTCAGTCACTCTCAGCAGTAAAAATTGTATTTATTTTTTAATCATAATTCGGTAAAACACAGACACACACAGACACACAGACACACACACACACCAAAAAACAGAAGTTTCACTAAGCAGTGCTTAACACTGCTATCTACAAAGCACTCTGATATATTCTATTCTATTATTTTTATTTAATTTATATAGATGCTAGTCATACCTGCTAATCATGTCCCATTAAAGGATCTCAACTGGTAGTGTGAAAAAACTCTACTTTAGCTGTGATCTGCTCTTGAGGGTGTTAAAATAGGGAGAACACCCAATAAAAGGGTAAGGATAAGTCTGACAGATGTGTGTGACCTGATGTTAATTTAATGAGCAAGCAGTTTGGAAATGGAGATAGGCATTTTCCAGACCCTGAAGCTCAACTGCCTGCTCTGTAGCTTGAGCAGAGGCTCAGGTCTCTGGATTGTCCATTCTCTCTCAAGGGCTTGTTCCGCTCTTCTTTCACAGACTCATGCCTCTTTGCAATATTGTCCTTTCTCTACTGAGTCTCCACCTTCAACACTCAGCTCTTTTCACATCTTTCCTTCCAGGCTGAGGACAAGAAAACAGCAGTTCCCGCAGGGCTATCAGCTACAGAAAAAGCTGATGCTCATGAGGAAGATGATCTTCGAGCAGCTGAAGAGGTATGTGGTCCATGTAAGCCCCCTGAGGTTTCTGTTCAAGTCATTTGGGAAGAAATTTTACTCTCATCCCCAGCTTTCCCAAATGGCCAGCGCCTCCCACAGCCAGCTGCTACGAGCGGGCCTTTTGCATCTTCCAGTTTCCTTTCATCACGTATCACGATGCATACCATCAAGCGAGATCAAGGAAAACAGTCCTTGATTTCACTACAGAGACCCATGTGGGCACATTGCTTCCATCTTACATGGTTAGAACTGCTCACTACTGTTTCTCTGCATTCCTCTCTCAGCAGCGTATCCAGTCACTGATGACCAAGATGACCGCCATGGCCAATGGGGAGGTGAGATGGAAGTGGTTGAAGGGGACTTGGCACCACCCTGCCCTGCTTTGGGCTGGGGATCCTCCTTCCAGGGGGACCACCTTCTCCAGAGCCTTCCCTCTTCAGCACTCAGTTTCTCCTGTTCCACAGTGCATTACTTTTGGGTAGCTTTTGGTAAATGCCTAGTGTTGCTGTGAGGGGAACCTCTAGAGAGAGACTTGAAGGACCCCGTGTGAGCAGGAGACCCCTGCTGGGACAGCCCACAAGGGCCTCTGCAGAAGAGCTGGGGTCAACTCTACCTCTCCTTAACAACAAGTTAAGTTCCCATGCCGAAGGAGCCCTTGTCTTCTGTTTCCTTCTTCACTATCTAGATAGGAAATGGAACACTGAGTTTATAGTTGGTCCTCCGAGAGCTCAAAGTCTCTGTACAAAAGATTTAGCCAAGTGCTTTGAAATGATCATTTCTTTTGATGCTGGAAAAGGCCTATGGAAGTAAATGGATATTTTAGAGGTTCTGAGATTACTTGTCCACTCCCATTTGCTCCTCTTTGTTTCCTGAGTCCTAAGCCCATCAAGTCCCCTGCAGGCTCTGTTTAGTGACCCTCAGGGAGGAACCTGGGGATGGGGCATAGAAGTAAAGAATCATTGTCCAGGGGTAGCCAGAGTCTGAGGAGGATCTAGCAGTCAGCCAAGTGACTCAGGAGGTACAAATGTTTGGCTTAACATTTGTCCTGAGGCTTGTTTTCTCCTTTCCTTGTTAATACATGTGTGGGCAAAGCCAAATTATTTTTCCCCTGGTAATATTATCTATTTTACAGTAGTACTTGGAATGTTCAGGTTTTCCAGTTCTGTGGCCTTGAGAATGTACTCTCTGTGTGATTGCAGAGCCATCTCACCGCGAGCTCCGTGGGCCAGATTGTGGGGCTCTGCTCTGCCGAGATCAAGCAGATTGTGTCTGAGTACACAGAGAAGGTAGGTGGGGGCCCATCTGGAGTCTCTGCCTCAGATACTGCCCCAAAGCTTTGTTCTCCCACTTCCCTACCCCACTCCCCCACCCCACTCCCCCAGCAGTGATGGGGTCTGGTTTTGATTCTTTAGCCACGTTTGCAAAAACATATTCACAAGGTCTTACCATGCACAGCCATCAGCATTTGCCCATCAGCTAAATTAATTTTCTTCTGCAGTGCCCCCATTTTTCTAAAAAGGTAAAGAGAAAACCTGTTTTACAGATTAATTATCACATTTGATAAATTGATGCCTGAGGTACAGCACAAATATTTTTCCTTCTCTATCAGGCTTCTTATAGCTTGGGCTCAGTTTGGTGATTGGGCTGAGGAATGAAGCTTTGCCACTTAGGAGATAAGCTCCATAACTCAGCCAAACCCAAGGCAAAATTTTTTGTTCTACTTTATTAAAAAAACCCAAGGCAAAATTTTTTGTTCTACTTTATTAAAAGGGTATAGAATGAAAAAAAGCCTGAAAGTCATATTTCAGCATCGGTTTTTTTTTTTTTTTCCATCTGAAGAGTAGGCAGGAGGACCTTGAATATTTCAGGGAGACGGTGATTAATCATTTTGCACATAACTGATTCTAGTCTGGTTGAGATGTAGTATCGGTAAAATCAGATTTACAGGGCATTGTTTCACATTCCTCCTTCCCCAGCCGTACTCAGTCTGCACTCTTAAAATGTTGATGTCTGTTGAAGCATCCAGCCTTTCTTCCCTTGCCTCAAAAGCCTTGACAACAAATTAGCTTTGCGCTGGCCCTCTGTGCAGTATTCTTCTGAAGTGATTGCACAGGTGGTGTAGTAAGAGAAAGAGTATCACCTATAATCTGGGGGTATTACCTGCTGCAAATACAGCAGGCAGTCATCTCCCACCAAGTGAGGCGTTTTCTGAGCAAAACGATAAAACAGCTTGCAGTGTCTGGGGGTGGGATTCTCTTGTTTCCCCCACACCCCAAGTAAGTGCTTCTTAACACGGGCTTGGGGGGCCGGCCCGGTGGCGCACTGCTACAGTGCGCCGCTTGGGAGTGAGGCGGCGCTCCCACCGAGGGTTCGGATCCCACGTACGGACCGGCCGCTCACTGGCTGAGCGAGGTGTGGGAGCAACACCAAGGGTTGCGATCCCGTTGCCGGTCCCGGTCCAGTACGGGCGCGACACTGAGGGTTGCGATCCCGTTGCCGGACACGAAAAAAGACAAAAAGGAAAAAAAAAAAAACACGGGCTTGGCTTTCTAATTCAACTCTTATAGAATCTAAAGTGCCCTGTCTTTCTGTTTAACACCCAGGAAAGATGACACTGGTCAAAACGTCATCCAGGATTTGACTAGGAAAGGATTTTGGTTATCCTAAAAGTACAAATAAACTCAAAAGACTTGAAAATGTAGATGAGGAAAGAATGAGTAAGTCACTGCCCCAAGGAAAGTATCTTGGTTTACTGTCAGCACACACACCTGAATGGCAAGGGTATGAGTCTACACCCACCCTTATGTGGCCACATAGCATTGACAAATTCAGTTTTTTAGAAAAAAGATTACTGGTTAGGTCTCCACTGCTATTTTTATAGGGAATCTAGTTTTTATTTTTATCTTAAGTCTTATCCACTGTGAGTAGATAGAAATTCCGATTATTACAAGAGGGAAAGCAAGCAGGCAGACCCTCCTTTGGTTGGGAGTACATTAGTCCCTTGCAGTTTCCCTTTCTGTGGTTTCAGTTACCTGAGGTCAACTGCAGTCTGAAAATATTAAATGGAAAATTCCAGAAGTAAATAATTCCTAAGTTGTAAATTACTCTCTTACTGTGCCTAATTTATAAATTAAACTTTATCATAAGTATAGAAAGTATCATATGTATAGAAAAAAACATAGTATATAAAACATAGTATATAAAGGGTTTGGTACGCTGAGGTTTCAGGCATCCACTGGGATACTGCTATACATTTCTCCTCCTAAGCCCTCTCTCTGCCTAGGAGTCCTGAAGCTGCCCCAATCAGGCTTGCATTTTGCATGTCTCCTTCAGGGTCTCTTTATCTCCTGAGTTTTCTCCTCCTCACCCCTGACCAGTGATCTCTACCCAACTCCAATGGCTGCATTCTGGTATTTATCATGGTCTATTCTCTACCTCCATTTCATTCTTCTAGAAAAGAGTGAAATTGGAAGTAATTTTGGACAGGAATCAACACCAGGTCTTTTTATAAGGACATATATAATTAAACTCATAAAGAATTGGAGAAGATTAAGTGCTCATTGCCAGTTGTTTAATCTTTCTTTGCTATGGTATCTATAAAATGGGAATACTATTACTTTCCTAGCAGGGTGTTGTGAGGATTAAATGAGATGTGACCAAAATGCCTCAAACGGTGCCTGGCACATTATAGCTCTTCAGCTAATGGTAACCTTTGTTTGCATTTTTATATAGTTTGCATTTTGTTGCTGTTGTTGTATCACATTCTAAACATTTTCCATGTTTCTAGCCTTCATGTTTATTTTAATAATTATATAATCTATGTATTAATGCAGCACAATTCATTAAACATTTCCCTATTATAAAAATTTCAAATTGTTTCTGTTTGTCATTGTAGATAATATTGTTGTGAAATCTGAGCAGATAGTTTATGCTGAAATGTTTCCTAGGAGTTGGATGATTGGGTTATGACTCCTCTTCTGTGTTGCAAAGTTGTAACAATGTAAAATACTGTCAGTGATGAAGGGGCTTTCTGCCATACCCCCAGCATTTCCAGCCTTGATTGTTCATTTGTCTAACTTGCTACTGTAGTAGCTATGAAATGGCACCTCCTTGGACCACTGAGAGGATTGGAGATGGTTCCATGTTTTTGTTTACTCTGTTTTCTCCTTTGAATTGTCTGTTACAGATTTTATTTATCTTTTGGACATGTGATATTTTCCTTGTAAATCTGAATAAAGTCTGAATTCTAGATTTAAATATTTTGAAACTGTGTTGCAAGTATTTTTGGAGCACTATTTTATTTTTGTATTGTTTTTCATTACATGCAAGGAATTTGTATGTAAATTGGTCAATCTTTTTTTCTCTATTACTGTCTCCAAATGAGAGGTTCATTGTTTTCACATGAATCTGATAAAGTAGTCCATTACATTTAAGCTAATCTTTTATTAATTATGTTTAATTCTTTAACCTACATAGAGATCATTTTTATTTAGCCTGAAGTGTGCATCTGTCCTAGTTTTCTTTTTTTTTTTTTTCTTCCTTTTTGTCTTTTTTTACTGACCGGTAACGGGATCGCAACCCTCGGTGTTGCGCCCGCACTGCGCTCAGCCAGTGAGCGGGAACCGGTCTCCACATGGGATCCAAACCCTTGGCGGGAGCGCCGCCACTCTCCCAAGCGGCGCACTCTCCGGTGCGCCACCAGGCTGGCCCAGTCCTAGTTTTCTTATACATATCCACTTATCCTAATACCTTTTATTAAATAATTTCTTTATACTCATTTTGAGACACTTTATTCTATTTTTGTGTTTTATATCTAATTTAAACTGTATATATACTCTTTCTTGTTTTATTGGTTTGTCAGTGCTTTCCAGCTGGAGACCTAGTTGTGTTCAACAAGGAACACACATATAGTTGAACAAGGTGGGCTTATTGCTGGTTGTAGAGAGGGAGAACACATACCAATGGGAATTGTGGGGCATCTCCGTGAGAGGGTGTTAGAAAGGATTTAGGATAGGATTTGGGCTTGTGTTAGGTGATTTTGTGGAGCATTAAAGGAAGTGGGGCTTTGCTCTGAGTTGAATGCTGTAAGGAGGAGTGAGTCTATGAGTGAGCATGTTAATAAATCTTATCTATAAAACACCAGGAGTGAATCAAAGTCAAAACTGTATATGTATAACAGCCATTTCAGGAGATGTTTGGTCAGTCTGTGATTTGGATGATGTTTGTGTTTTTTGTCTGTGTTCAGACATAATTACAGAGTGGTAATGTTTCTGCCTTGATCCTTGCTCACCATCACGAGGTGGCCTTGTCTGGTGTTGGTGTTCTTGGAAATTGTTTATGTTTAACACCGGGGCCTGGCTATGAGTACAGGCCAGGTCCCAGCAACATCAAAGCCTGGCGGATAGTACCAGGCTAGCTCTCAGATGTCAGGGGCTGCTTTTCTCAACCTCAGGTTGTGTAGTTATCTATTGGTACGTAGCAATATTACCACAAATGTACTGACTTAAACCAACACACATTTATTATCTTACAATTTCTGTGGGTCAGCAGTTGGGCACAGCTTGGCAGGGTCCTCTACTTCAGACTCTCAGAAGGCTGCAGTCTCATCTAAGGCTCTAAGGGGAAAGGGTTGCTTCCAAGCTTACGTGGTTGTTGGCAGCATTCAGTTCCTTGCAACCTGTTGACTTAGGTCACTAATTCTTGCTGGATATTAGCTGGAGGCTACCCTTAGTTCCTTGCACATGAGCCTCCCCAACATTGCCACACTTATTTCATCAAAGTCACCAGGGCTTTCATTTCCTTACAGGGTGGATATTACAGTCTTATATACCATAATTATGTACATATAATCACATATATCCCATCACCTTTGCTGTATTCTGTGGGTTAGAAGCATCACAGCTCCCACCCATATTCAAGGAGAAGGGATTACACAAAAGCAGGTGTGAACAGGAGGTGGGATCATGAGGCCACTGTAGGGTTGTCCATCACAGTTTGCTTATTTATTTTTTATCTTACTGCCTAGATTAGGCTGATACTGGGCACTGGCAATTCATCTAAAATCGGTGTTGCTACCATCAGGGTCTTAGTAATAAAACCCTTGGAAGTAGAGATGGGTTTGAGGAACACCTAAGAAGAATACTATCAGAGTACTTGAGAAAAATCCAAGTTAGGCTGAGATTAGGATGTATTTTTGCTTAGTGAAAAAAAGGGACAAAATAATTTTAGAGTATAAAGTATGAAAATGATTTTGTGACCAAGGAATAAATTCAGTAGTTTGCCTGGT